TTAATTTTCCCTTTGGGGCCCCGCCCTGGCCCCAGGGGTCGGGGTAGGAATCTCAATTTTACAATTTGAAACCATCTACCTCCAAGGATAATTCTCACCAAGTAAAAATAATTTCCTACAGAAAGTTGTCAAAATATACCCAAAAGTGTTATTTCCCTATATAAACTATAGTAAACTTTACCCCCTCCCCAAGGGAGAACGGATAGCTCGGGGGTCCTGAAATTTACAATTTAAGTAAAGCCCCTGATGATCTTTCTTTCCACGTAGAGAAAATCAGTGTAGTACCTCTGAGTCTGGAGAAGAAGATTTTTGAAATATTGGATAATTTTCCCTTTGGGGCCCCGCCCTGGCCCCAGGGGTTGGGGTAGGAATCCCAATTTTACAATTTTGAAGCCTCATCTACCAAGGATGATTCTGACCAAGTTTGAAAAAAATCCATCCAATGGTTCTTGAGAAGAAGTTGAAAATGTAAAAGTTGACGCACGACGCACGACGGACGACGGATGACGACGGACGAAAAGCGATTGGAATAGGTCACTTGAGCAAAGCTCAGGTGACCTAAAAAGGCACCAATGTTCAGCAAGTTGTTTTGTATGCAACTCTAAGGAATGTCATAATGATGATGAAGGCAAGGCGGGGTTCATTAGCTGTCGTCAATGTCACATGACATGTCATCACTAGCTTGTTTGAATCGTCACCTCGAAAAAAAATCACGTAAAATTAGTTCGGACCCCATTTCGAATTGTGATTTAGTGTGGAAGTGTACAAATTGCAAGCATGTGCTTGACATCCAAAAGCGCCAACCTGAAGAACACAGGTGTGGGGAATATCTATGTAAGGGGGTAATGAATACGTTGTCACGAAACACCTTAGTTATATCAGAGCCTTAGACCCCAAAAAGCAAAGGTATAAATATATTTTTTTCGATTTTGAATGTAGCCAATCTGATGCCACTATGAATTGTAAGGATGGATACTGCATGACGCGTAGCTCTGACTGTGAGACGACACGTAAGCCTGACTGTGAGACGACGCGTAAGCCTGACTGTAAAGACGACACGACACCTTGTAAAGCATGCTCGCGTTGTATAAACTGTCAACAGAGTTGGTGTAACAAACACCAACACACACCTAATTTGGTGATCGCACATACTGTATGCGAGCTTTGCATTGCCGGTGACGTGACCCCTGATATTTTTTAGAGTAGTAATTACATTTTATACTTCCTGTAAATCAACCTTTTTTATCCACGAATTAAACTTTGAGGGCCAGTGTTGCCAGGATACAAGAACTTCCGGTCCATTTCTTGACTTCTGTTCCCTGAGTATCTTGTCGATTTTCCATGCGGTTTCTTCACCTTTTATTACTTTTTGGAGTTCCTCTTGGTAAAATGTGCCTGATATGGGATCGTCCATAAAGTCTTTGATTTTATAAATGGGCATGTCTTGTCTAATGAATCGTTCTGTCACTTTGAAGACTTCTCCAGTCCATTTTTGCTGGTATGAGATCTTGGAAATGCTTGTTTTAAATACGATATTCTCACAAGATCATTTATTTGAATTCTGTACATATTTTTCTTTCGTTTTCTTTTCCTTGTTGTTGTTGTAGTTTTTTGGACGTGGTTTTCAATTTAGTCTTCGTTCTTATCAAATAGGCATTTAATCGGACTTCGTCTTCATTATCTTTGTTTACCGATGCGGGGGTAATACCGCCAAGAGGTATGGATGGAGTGTTGTTGATAATATTGGTGATGTTTGCCAATTGATCAATGTATCTGTACGACTGTCTCTGTGTAAACATTCTGTACATTCTGTCTTTTATCCCTTTGATACTTCTTTCTGAATAGTTAGCCTTTTTTTCCGATTCAGAAAATATCAAATGCACATTAACTGACTTCAGGTACTCTTGTACCCATTTGTTTTTAAACTCGCTTCCTTTGTCTGTCCGTAACACCCTGGGTTTTCTACCTTTAGCAAGCTTCCTTTTTAACGAGCTGGTATAACTTGTATGGACCAGTAAATGACCCTGCATGTTTGGGGTCGGACCAAATACTCTCCAAATACTGTTGCTCCCCTGATGTCAACATTGTAAATGGCTGAAAACTCATATATTAAATCTAATTATAAGAGAAAACAATATCTAATTATAAGAGAAAACAATAAAGGACAAATGCATATAAATTGTACACATGATATTTTTTATTTCCTCCTTAGAACAAAAATGTACCTTGCATGGCACTGTTAGAACAGGAAGGCATCCAACAGGACATGTAACAAATCATTATTAATAAAAAATAAAATAAAAATTTAACCCAGTAGATTATAAGAAAATGAATCTACTCATTGTCATTTCAACATCCCACAAAAGCTTCAGTTGAATACAACAAAACCCCCTTATTGTTTTTTTGAGTTCAGTTCACGCATCAATCTGCTCCTCGTTGTCGGGCAGAAACCACCGCCTAATGTTCACAACAGGGTATCCTTGCTTTAGGCTAACGTAATAGTTACATCCAAGATGAATGTGCAAGTCTACGTCTTTATTGTCGTCATCATATTCTTTGATGGCCTCGTCCACATCATCAACATACCATGTCAAGAGTTTTGTCAATTTTTCTAAATCCAGGACGATGCCCTTTTTTGTGGGATATGTCGTGTTGTCCAATCGTTTCTCATACACACGAATATGGAACCACAGTTTGTCCTGAAAGTTATTGGCTACTAGGTAAAGGTCATTCCCAATGTCTAACTGACACAGGTTCTTACTGTTAATGTATTTGCTCTTTGAGTGACTTTTGATGTCCACTCCTGCTCCATGCATGGAACGCTTTGAGGTTTCGTTGTTAATTTGTTTCATCTCAGTGGGACTGACAGGCTCTATCTTCACCTTTTTCATGGGGCTATCGTCGATGATTAGGACGTCTGACTCCTCTTCAAAACTTTCTCTGGTGTTTTCGTCAAAGAAAAAAAGCTTACTTCTCAGAGATGTTGCAGCATCGGTGTCCAATATTCTGCGCTTTGCATGCTGTCTTCGTTTCGGCAACAGAGCAGCAGGCACTACAACGGGTGAACGTGGAGTTTCGGCCATTTTTCTTCTTCTGACGGAGCTGGTAGTAGATTATGTCGAGCTGTTCGTTCAGAGTATTCTGATAAACTGATGGTTTGTGTACCGTTTTGGTGGGGTTTATATAGTCATAATCGTGTGATGTATGACTTTTTTTCAGTACTTTTCCATGGAAAATGTATTCGTATCTCTTGTAACTGTTTTTATATTTTCGTCGAGAGACTGTTGCTATCCAAAACTTCTACATAAATACAGAATCCTATCATAGGTTGTATCTAACCGAAAAATCTAATTATAACAATGACCTATCCATACAGTGTCATGGATCTGTTGACCTAATCAGACATGTCCAAAACACATACTATATCCTGTCTTTCTAAATTGATCAAGCTCTCATGTAATTTACTAAATGCAGCTGGTCCTCTTCTGGTTAATATACTCAAAAATGTTCTGGCTTTATCATACTTGTTCCTTTCTGTCTCTATGTCTTCCACCATATAGTCTGTTAGCACGTTATGATGATGCAACATATACACTATTTCCATCGTGGGTAGATTTTTCACCAGAAATACCCAATTTTTTCCCAGCTTTAACTTGTGTTTTTCCTCCATTTTCCAGTATTCCAACACTCAGTTTCTGGTTTTAGTTTTTTTTTAAAAAGGGAATACATGGCTAACTTCTAATATAGTACATATCAACATAGCAATAAAACAACCTGAGAGATGATTGGTCAACGGTCTTTTTATATGTTAAAATCTGCCAAAACAAATGTTTATTCTCAGGCATTCTGTACAGGTTCTATATTTAACTAGGTGTTTTCTTCAGTGACTACGTTCTAATTTTAGCAACGCCCTCCTCAGATACAGAATCTATTTTTATCTCTACACTAGCCACTGAACGTATTCTCAGTCCCCCAAAGTTCCTATTTTTTTCTTCACACCATATATGTGGGTTTCCCCCGCATTACTCGGTCAATGACCTTGGAACACCTGTGCTTTGGTTTTTCCCCACTGACCGCATTTTCTAGGTCAATGACCTCGGAACACCTGTACGCCACCAATTCAATAGACCATACAAATCGATAACAATACCTTTACAAATCGATAACAATAGATTCCTTTGATGTATTGTCTTCGAACAATAGCCTATAGAAATCAAACAATAGATCCATTGAATTTAAACAAAAGATTCTTTTGTTTTCTTTTGTTACAGCCCCTTACGTACATACTCACTCCTGATATCAAGGACATGGGAAGTAGCACAGCTCAGGGAATGGCAGAGGGAAGATCAGGTGGTAGGAACAGTGGTGAAATTAATGGAGAAGTAGAGATAAACCACCACAGTCTGAGATACCTGCATTTCCTTGAGAGTTTTTCTCCCTTTACTATATGTGGGAAAGTCTCTACATAGGGGAAGATGGACTTCTATTGCGGGTAGATGGCTCAACACATCCTGGACGGGGAGGTAAACAAATAATTGCGCCCAGAGAAATTCAAGAAAAAATACTTCATCATCTGCACAACTCTATGACATCGGGCCATTTATGTAAGGATATAACGCTCGAGACAGTTAGGAGAAGGTTCTACTGACCTGGTGTTACTGCGGATGTAAAGAATTGGTGTCGATCATGTGAAATGTGTGCTAAGAGAAAATCTTGTCCTCACCGGGGAAAAGCTCCGTTGCATGTCTCCGATATAGTGGGTGGTCCAATGGAAAGGGTAGCCATAGACATTCTTGGAGGGCTGAAACCGACTGCAAATGGAAACAATTATGTTATAGTGGTGGTGGAAGTGGCAGACAAATACATAGATTTCACAAATGTCACGTGATTAGGGAATTCCCCATCCATCCGCCATCTTGTAGGGCAAGCTATTCGAAGCGTTACTTTGTTTACAAGTTTAACGGTGTCATTTACATATCGATTTTTACCTGGATTTATTATAATGAGTGACAAACTGACAAAAGAAACACCAAAGGTAACATACCAGGACAGTTTAGATGTGGTTACGAGGGCACGATATCTAGAAAAGTTAAAGTTAATAGACAATAAAGACCCGTACTTGATTCCAAAGAAAGAATGGTCAAAAGATCCCAAAGATTTGCCCGATATCCAATATCCAGACATAGTCAATTACTTAGTTAACACTGTCAGTGCATATACTTTGAACGACATGAAAGCCTATAAATCCTTGGAATCATACAACCAAATGGTCTGCGGTTGGGTTAAAGAAATTGGACTTGTAACTTTTGGAGAAAAGTGCCTTGTGTCTGCACGAGTTCGACATTCCCAGAGAATGAATGAAACGCCCCTTCATTCGTGGTTGATAGCTGAGAAAGGAGGAAACGTTCTGACTGCACACTGCAACTGTATGGCAGGTCTAGGGCAAAGCTGTAGTCATGTAGGTGCAATGCTCTTTGCTATTGAGGCAACAATAAAGTTGAAAAATTCCCAAACAGTGACACAGGAAAAGGCATATTGGTTGTTACCTTCAGCTGTACAGAAAGTAGAGGGGAAGCCTGTCAAAGATATAGACTTTACGTCTGCTAAGTCTAAGAAAAAGCAGCTTGATACAGCTATAAGTAATTGTAACAGTCCAGGAACACCACTACAGACTAAACAACAGAAAAACGTACAGAAAATACCACCACCTAGTGACGATGAACTATCAAATTTCTTCAAGGGTCTTCACGAAACAGGAACAAAGCCAGTTTTGCTTTCTCTCGTTCCACAATATGCTGCGTATTATAAACCAAAAGCCTTGGACAAA